TACTTTGCTTTGTACATGCATTGGATATTTTAGTCGCAATCGTGGCATTGAGGAAATGTCATCCTAAACCTTTCGCTAACAATAGAAAAGGTACAAAAATTGTATGCTTCTTTTAAGAAAACTGTGTGTTATGTCAAGTGCTGAAAGAAAATTGCCATTTGCTAGCTTTCTTGAGTTTGTATTATCAGATTATGCTTTTGAAACCATGGGGCGCTATATCCGTATGGCATTTCAGTACTGTTCCGATAAATTTGACAATAATAAGTTAAATGCAGGAGAAATAATCGAAGATGTCCCGAATATGGGGTATATACAAGTTGTGGTAAAAATAAATGGAGCGGGATTTTTATTTAAGACTTTGTCCGAAATGTTTGCCGAGAATCCCGGAATTAATTTCACCCCCATTATGTCTCAGATTACATGGAAAGACTGGAACTCTGAATGGAATGAAGAAGCTAGGTCTTTTTTCCGTATTTTATATGACGGTATACATTTTGGAATATTTGTAATTTGCTGAACACTTTCGAAACCGTGAAACGGTTAGAAAAATGTTTTACTATCGACACGCACGACTTGAACGCGATAGAGCAAGATCACACGGGTAATGATACTGGATATTCAGTTCTTTACTATGCTCTTCGTCGTTATGAGGGTCAAAGATCTTTTGAATCTACAGCAGCTAGACATATTTTGCAAAATTCAAATGGATTCGATGAAAGACCAGTTTATAATAACGGTATCTGCACTACGGCAAAAGACTTTGTTGAAAAACAGTATCGAGACGACTTAAATTTTTCTTTAGCATTGAAGACGAGACTCCCGAAAATGATGAAGCATAATTCAGCAACTAATCATGCACTTACCAGGTGGCTTACATTCAGAGATTCTACACTGCCATAAGAATGACAAAAATTGTGGCTAAATGATTGAATATATTGACTGTAGTGACTACATCAGACAGAGTAGTCATCAAGTCATCAATTCATGGATTGCTTGTATCAAGTATGCTTTCAAGTCCTGATTTCCAGAACATAAAAATGCAATCACGACAAAGAGACAAACTTTCCGGTGTCTTACTTGAAATATTGTACCTCGCATTCGCATACTGTTACTATATTGGGGCTGAATATCTTTTATCCAACTGAATTTCAAGCATATCCGCTGCCGAAAATACTTTGTTGCATATATTTATATATAACATAATGGTTACAATAAACGGAAATTGACCTGAATTTTAATTCACTGATAAAGGGCAAAAGTGTTTGAATGAAAATATTTCAATGAGTAAAGTATTGTGATGGACAAAATGTACACGCCGAATAGATGTGAAACTGCATTCTTGAACATATTTATTTGGTTTTCTATTCACTCAAGTATTCACAATCTATAAATTATTTATATCGTACTCGAAATAGCTAAATTTTCATGTGTAAACTTATCCATTCAATTGGTTCAAGTCATTCGAAACAAGTATTTTTACGAGTCTAATCAAAACGCATGAATACAATAATAACAAAACCTTACAGCTTGAATGGACGTATTCAAACAAATGAGGTAATATTTACTATTATATTTCACAGTTTATGTAAATAATTTTTTTGTATAATTTGAAAATATTTTAAGCTGATTTTGTAAAGGAATTGTATCATGATAATAAAAAAACACACACTTGAATAAAATAATGTGTGTTCCTATATGTAAATATATATCGTGACAAGTTTCCTTTACTACACATAACAACAAAATGTTTGTATCGCTATTCTGAGATTTGTGAGCAAATTAAATAAGTTCAGTTTTTTGATAAGTTGTACACTGCAAGGGAAGACGCTGTGTTTTACACTAATAAAAAACACCTAGGTTGCGAAATAATGCGTTTAATATCAATTCGGATTGTTCTCGGATCGTTTTTACATGACCATAGTTTTATAGCTTCTTCAGTTTGTTTTATTTGAGGCACAACCCAAAAACATCAAAAATCATCATCTTTTGTTATATTCTTGCAATCGACAATCAAAATTCAAAAATCACGTTTTATTTATGTATTTATTCACTGCTTAATTTTGAAAAAAATTGCTTCTTCCGTACTTTTATTTATCGTTATTGGTGGACGGCATCATGTCATTTTTAAACTTCCATTTTTGTGTTGTATATTGTAATTTTAAGTATTGTCTTGTAATCAATCAATCATAATTTATTTGTCAATACAATATAAATATATCACGAGAAATATGGAAAAATATAAAACAAACAAAAAAGGTTGAAATTTGTGACAGGAGTGACGATAGACCTACAAACTTCGAGCAGCGACACCTACAACGCTGATTTAGATTACCGGTAATGAATGAATTTGGTATATGCAGGTGCTTCTAATTATTATTTATTACAATTTCCATGACATAGAAAAAACGATGCACTAAAACACTTCAATAATATATGTATATAACAAATTTGAAAAACAAGAAAATCACCAAATAGTAATACAAACTTAAAAGTATATATATATATATATATATATTTGCTGCATTGAGGTTACATATTTATTTTTGCTGCATTTGGGCCACTCGTTTTCTGTGGCATATAGTGAGCTACTCACAGCGTTAATTTGGGTGGTTTTCAGTGGGAAATGTTTTGACAAAATTTCACGCAACTAATACAGTTTGTTTAAAATATAGTCGAGTTGGGGCCCAATCGTCGTCGCCCATCCGCCGCATATTCATCCGCCGCTGATGTTGATTGCCTGTATCTTCAATTCTCGATGCCCTCACACGAAAGTATAAAAAGTATTTGCGTATATACTGTATATATATATATATATATATATTGTGTATGTACGTAGGCCAAAGTGTAACCTGAAAATAGTTTCAATAGCGATATTTTAAAGTTGTTCTTAGTGGATTCTAGATAACAGATGACAAAACTTCCAAAATTTCATAAACTGGATTGTCCGATATATGACTTATTGCTGAAAGTTAGGAAGTCGTGAGTTAAGCTTAAAAACACATATAAATCAGGGAGTTCTCAGTCAAACTTAAAATTTTTTGCATCAGTCGATGTGGGAATTTTGTATTTATATTTTAAGGGAGTGGTTCCAATTAACTATTTGACCTTTGACCTCAAAATAGAAAATTTGTTCTGTTGCATTTAGATTAAAAAATTTGGTATATTCGGATAGATTTCGACATAAGAAAGCTAAAAATGTCATTATCATTATTTGTTGAATAGTTTTTGAAAAATTTGAATTTGAAATTTATTTTTTTTCATTGTTTTTTGGTCATAACTTTTGATATAAACAATGAAAACCATTCAATTGGTATTTTAGAGACGCATTCAACGATACTTTACTCGATAAGATTGGATTTCTAGAAAAGTAATTGAGAATTTAGAAATTTGCAAATAAATGGGGTTAGAAAACTAGTTGCGCGAATTGAAGGTACTAGGGTTTCATCGATTATCACAATTTTATGCTTTCAATATCGTTTTTTTTTGTTGCATTCAAATACATTTGACTATAATGAGTGCATTACACGTATTAGCAATTGAAAGTATTTATATGAGCAGGATATACCTATACCTAGTATTTTGGTACTTCATACTATTAAATCAAACCATCACCTGAATTATTACCCCTTCCTTTAAAAAAATATAGTTAACATATCGGGAACGAGAAGAGGAATTGGTGACGTATGAAAACTCAAATTCCCGCAGAATTAAGTTCAATAGACCGGCCTAGTAAGGCAATAAACTTTTCCTATTTAATGCAATATTTCTTGTTGTGATGACCGTGAGTTTGCATAATTATGTAATTAAAACTGGAGAACAAAGGGAATGAACGTGGAAAATGAAATAACTTGGCATCTGCATGGGTTAATTGACCTGCGGTGTATAAACTGGCCCATAATCCGCATAATGGACGATAAGATAATTGATGAAAACAAAATAAATGAGATGAATATAGAATCGGGTGAGCTAACAAAATCACAAGTGAGGTTAAAAGCGCACAGATTTCCGATGGAAAGGTATTGTTAAATGGGTATTACGCGCTCGCTCACCTATTATTCCATATTCTTTCAATTGTGAGTTACCACGATAAAGATATCTAAAAAAAGATACGAAAAAAAAACAGAATGTAAAAACGAAGTAATACAACGGGGACGTAGCCAGGTGGTGTTTTTTTTGTATTATACATAACAATTTATCATAGGTCGAAAAGCTTTTTATATCCCAGAGACTCCATGAGAACACACGTTTTCCGGCGTTTGGTCGAGCCCGCTAGTTGTTTCGATATAACATGGCAAATAGAAATTTCAGAACCCCCCTCGAAAATTTCTGAATACTCCCCTGTAACACGATATCAGCATCGACGACATATACATGTCATTTTTTTTGCGTCTTATGCAAGTTCAGTAACAAGTTGTATCTCAGTTGTTATCACTGAAATAATCACTGAAACTGTCTTCATTTTTGGCATAATATTTTCACCACAATTGTGACTGCAAGTTACCTAAAGAGATTTTTGGCATTGGCTTGATCGACAATAGGTTAGTATTAATTGTAAAATCGCTGCACAACGGCTTATGTATGGCATTGCAGGTAAAGTATCGTTTGAGCAGTCCCGAGTATTTTTTAAAATGAGCAAATGCATGTGACACCACAATGCCATTTTCCGCGCATACGCATAAAGATGCTGAATGTAACATTCCATAGAATTCTGTTTAGGCAACGAGAATCTCCATCATTGCCCTTACCTCCACATTCTCCGATACCCTTTGGGATTGTACCAGCCATGATTCAAAGGTAATAAACGAGAAAAAATCAATCGGTTTGCAAATGTATGCCCTAGCTGTCACTGTAAATTTGCATGTTTGAACATCGTTCCGCAAGATCATTCACTCCTCGCCCATAACGGCAAAAGGACACATGTTGTTTGTGGCGCACCTTGTGACTTAGTGACTGTTATATGTCTAACGACCCTCGATTCCAATGCAACCAATTTTTTCATTGTAAGCATTTTATTGCCAAAACGAAACGGACAGTAAGCAAATTTATTAAAAAATTCAAGTAAGCGAGTAGACCTCGTCAAACAATTTAACTTGTCAACGGAATTCGCATACAAAGAGATGGAAAAAATATTGACACAGGTCCGATGTTTGGACATTATTTTACAGAAATACTATAAAATGAAATTACAAATTTATTAATAAAAATAAGTAAGCGAGTAGAACTCGTCACACATAAGTTAATTCGTCAACAAAATTCGCATACAAAGATATGGAAAAAAATTAGTGACACAGGTCCGATGTTTGGACATGATTTTACAGAAATACTATAAAATGAAATTACAAATTTATTAATAAAAATAAGTAAGCGAGTAGAACTCGTCACACATAAGTTAATTCGTCAACAAAATTCGCATACAAAGATATGGAAAAAAATTAGTGACACAGGTCCGATGTTTGGACATGATTTTACAGAAATACTATAAAATGAAATTACAAATTTATTAATAAAAATAAGTAAGCGAGTAGAACTCGTCACACATAAGTTAATTCGTTAACAAAATTCGCATACAAAGATATGGAAAAAAATTAGTGACACAGGTCCGATGTTTGGACATGATTTTACAGAAATACTATAAAATGAAATTACAAATTTATTAATAAAAATAAGTAAGCGAGTAAAACTCGTCACACATAAGTTAATTCGTCAACGAAATTCGCATACAAAGATATGAAAAAAAATTACTGACACAGGTCCGATGTTTGGACATGATTTTACAAAAATATTATAAAACTAAATTAAGAAATGTTACATAATCGATATAATTTAAGTATTCCACCGGAACATGATATAATAGAGAAGTGGTTTTCAAACGATGGGGGTGGGGAATTGGCGGTCTTTGACAATTTTTGAGGGGGGTATAAAGCTTAATTGAATAAATATGTGAGATTTGAATTTGCCCGCCTTATTTTGAATATATATGTTCCATCCACACATGCTGTGAATAAAACATATATACGCCTTACTATCTGTTATTCGTAGCTTATTTTAGCTACAATTATTTTTAAGGTGGGTTGCAAAACTAGAAAATTCTAAAAAGGGGGCTCATCTTAAAAATTTTGAGAACCACTATCATGGAGTGTAAAACGCTTTTTTGTTTTCAGTCATGATACTTGTTTTTCACAACTATTGAAGAGGGTTTTATTCACAGAAAGCTAATTTCAACAAAAATTATGATGAATGTATATTTATGAAATTAAATACATAAACCTCCCCCTCGAATAATCCATTCTGTAATTCTACTGGCAAATCCAAAATTATGTTAGCATTTTAATTAAGTTAATGCTGTCAGTATTTTAATTAGAATAAATGTATTTGCTCAATATTGTATTTTGAGCAAAGAAATCTGTTTTTGATGCAATCTAATGCTGTCAGCTGTTTTTCTGATAAATTTGCTGCCACTGATGTCTAATTTAAATTTGCAAGCCTTTTCTTAAAGTCCTTTCTGAATTTCTTTCTCTCATTAAATAGCTTTGCATGAATTATTCTCAATTTACTTTTCCTGTCTTTAACGCCTGACAGTATATTCTCCTTTTGGAGAAATTCTTCAATGTCTTTGTAACCTGCATAGCAATTTAGAACGCATTAGTGTGAGAATAATGTAAACTGCTCAAGTCCTCGTCATCCAACAAACTTTCTATTTTCTGACTGATATTAACAGACAAAAAGTAAACTTTACCTGGTAAGCTACCGGTATTATTTTCACCAGAAGTGTCTTCATTACAAGACTTGAAATGAGTTAACAAAGCTGCAGTGTCACTGCTTGACCATCTAACATATTGTCGTTTTCTGCGCTTAGTTGAAGTACTTGGCATATCTGAAACCAAATAAATGACACACTCATTAAATGATTTTCTACATGTTTAAGTTTTTAAATTTAGCCCCAACACCAAACTATTTACACTATTTAGCTTTTATACGTAGTTTCATATATTAGTGCACTTTTCAAGACTTGGATAGAAATACTTACCATGACACATCTCAAATTCAGTATTCAATCCCAATCCTGATGGCATACTGTCATCTTCAACACCCAGCGTTTGTGATACTGCAGATGATTCTCCTTCTACACTATTTCCTTCTTCTAAATTTTCAACACCCGGCGTTTGTGATACCGTAGATGATTCTCCTTCTACACTATTTTCTTCTTCTAAATCTTCAACACCCGGCGTTTGTGATACTGCAGATGATTCTCCTTCTACACTATTTCCTTCTTCTAAATCTCCTGTTATGTCTGGCTCTTCCGTCCCTGAATTAAAAAGGTTCATCAATACCAACCCATGATTATAATAACATACCAAATTTTTCACCTTCGACTTGCATGCCATCCAATGATGCAAAGTAACTCCCAACTTTCGTAACCTCTTGTATACCGAGTGGACACTGGTATACATTCTTATTGATATCTTCTGTGTGTCCCATGTGCTTAAAAAACACTAGGCGTTGATCTTCCGGTATTTCCAAGCTGGCATATAAAGTTGAAGCTCGATGGCGCATTGCTGTGGCTGTGATATGTGAATTTACTCCAGCCGCATCAACTACATTTTTCACACTATGCCATCCGCTACAATGATCTAGGGATTGTTTTGTGCTTGGGAAAAGGAACATGTTTCGAATATTGATGTCAGAATCCTTTCGAATTTCGGAGTTTGCAAGCATATCTAATGCTGAATCACAATCGGGTGGCACCAAAACAGGTACCATACGGTTGGTGCCTTTTCCTCCTTGGTACATTATTTTAAATGTACTAAGAAGTTTTTTCTCAGCGTCATTAACATAGTTGGCTCTTTGAGAGTCAATCCATTTCTCCGTTTTGGCATCACACCAATCGCTCATTTGGAGTCTACATGGCTCACCCCCTCGTCAAGCATTAAAAAGAGTGAGTCTAGAGCAGTGGTTCTCAAACTTTTTTAGTCTCAGAGCCGCATTTCAAACTTCAAAGCTGTGAAGAGCCGCACACAAGCAACGCAAGGTAAAATAACAACAAACCTTAAGCGCGTATTTAAAATACCAAGTCCTCGTAACAATAACACACCTAACAACTAGAGCTGGGCATAATATTCGAATAATAAAATATTCGAATGCCATTTTACTATTCGAATATCCGGTACCACGTGACCTGCGCCGCTCTGCTTGGACACCGAACTCGCGCGTCTCCAACTCAATCGTGAATTGTGCGAGATTTCCCTACGCCGCTCGCTATCAGAAAAAAAGACAAATTTGAAAAGTCGTTGTTTTTGCGTTATGGTGTTATATGCTTATCTTCGCACTTAACGTATCGTTTCAATACATTATTTTGCAAAAAAACGTATCGACCGTTCCGTAAATTTAGAAACGTCAAATCAGATTAGATATTTAAAATAAATTTCCCAGATTTTAAACACCGCATGCTTGGTGACATATCATTAGCCATTTCTTGCATTACCGAACATAAAGTTGATTGAAATGAAATGTTAAAATGACTTTTCGGTGTTTCATTGTGAAAAAGGCAATTTTAGATCGTTAGAAAACTCTAGTTATGTAAATAGCATGGATTTAAAAAGAACCAGAAGTTTTTCCAAAAGCTGGTATGAGTTACTTGTATGAAAAACACTCATTAAATTGTAACCAGATAAGAAATGTCATGGCCTACTCCATTTAAAGCACTTTGTATTAGCTCTTTAGTGATCCCTTCCATCCTTGGCCAAGTGATGTTTCGAATATGTAACATTGTACTCGACCATACATGGCCGCTGAGCCAAGAGTAAAACGTAAAATTAATCGTGAATTTCGTTGTGACAATGCACATTGACTCGTCCACGAATTGTTGCGTCTATTATCATCGAAAATGATTACAATTGGTAAATTTCGAAGCAATTGGGCAGTACTAATTAAGTCTTATAGCATGACATAATCAAAATCATTAAGTGAAGTGGTGAATTTGCAAATTCCGTAAAGAAAATTGAGCATTACTCAGTAAGTATTTTAGCTATAATAACCATCGGGGTGTTGTTTTGTTGAAAAAAAAACCTTAAAACTTTAGAGAATTAGGTATAATTAGCGTCTGACCCTCGATTAGGCACAAAGGCCTAGGAATGCCTTTATTGCCAATTTATTTAATCGCTTTTTTTAAAACAACATTCAGGATTCACGCAATCGTAAATTTGCTAGGTTTATCTATCTAATACTAAAATAACACGAACACCATAAGAAAGCAGGAGAAACTCAAGTATCGTTTTAATAAATATCTGCATCTCGGTTACCGTTCACTTTAAACAGGCACGGTCAATTTACAAGCGTTGATAAGGAAGATCAAATCCAAGACAGGGAATAAAACTCAGAATAAAATTAATTTGGTTTGGAAAATCAGCCCTTAATGTATTCAACAGCTGTCGCCGATGTGAACGCAAGGGTATACTAGAAATATAAAACTTCGATATTCGGCGACCGCTTATTCTTGCAAAAAACGAGAAAGGGCGGAAATATAGAATACAAACTTTAGAATATCGCCGCCAAAACGATCGCGGTGACAAAGACAATCAGCGATTATGATGAAATTAACCATTAACCAATAAAAAAAAAAACGCTCCTTTGCCGACTTTTCAATGTTTCTATCAATTTCTAAATGGTGTATCGAACTCCGACGTTCTGGATCCCTGTTATGTATAAAAAAAATATTCAAGTTATTCGATTTCAAAAAAGATTAGATTTTGCCCACCCTAGACTAATAGCCATTTAATTTGGCTTTGATTTCTAATAGGTTTGTCAAAGCGGGTCGTAATCGCGGAGGATGCAAAGTGCAGTAACTGCTTAAGATGACCGCCAGATATTTCGGGACTATTTTCGATTACTGGAACAAAATTAAAATGCTCTAGGATTAAAATAATCATTGAGTTATTTGATTTATAAATAATATCCGGGAATGCGACAAACACTGAAAATCCACGGAAGCAAGCCAATGATTACAGCCATGTCTAAAATCTTGCCAAGTGAAAAGTGTACGAGTGTCCGAGAAACGCTTACTGTTGCGTCACTATTGCATCTTATAGGTTAGTCAACGCCACGCAAATAAACACGGGGAAATTCATTCGACTAACTAATAGACTTCAGCATTTTAATTTCAAGTCAATGATTAGTTTTCAATGAAAAATTTTCTCTGAAAATAATTAACTTTTAAAGGATTAACGAGAGCCGCAGGAAAGGTTGTTAAGAGCCGCATGCGGCTCTCAAACCCTAGTTTGAGAATCACTGGTCTAGAGCAGTGCTCTTCAACCGGGTATACGGTATACCCAAGTGTATACCAGTCCATAAGTTGGGTATACAACTGATAAAGGGTATATGAAGGGTGTACAGCCTAAGTCAGGGATTCTAAATTCTAATATAATAAATTATCAAATATTCAAGCGGAGACAACAATGCAAACGCGGCGCACATGAAATATAAAATGTCATTAACGCTAAGAACCAACGTGAGCACATTGTTACATCACAAATTATATAGATAATGCAGTCATATGTCTGGGTTGGTGATTTCGGCTGCTATGCATTTGTTCGATTTACGTTGAACATTATTTCCGTTGACGCTAAGGCCCTCAGTCAAATTTATAACTTGCGGACACTATCCTATTAGATTGCATGATGATATTGCAGTACAATATGTGCTTGAAATTTATTGTTTATTCAAGCCTCAAATAACATTGGTATTTGTAAGGTATACAAAGTTCTTGAAAAATTGTAAAAGGTATACCACGATAAAAAAGGTTGAAGAACACTGGTCTAGAGACTGTGAGGTCCCGAATAAATACAAATGTTTCTGGACAAAAAAAACCATACTGATTATTCACAATCTGTTGCAATTTATCTACAGTGTAGTTTCGTATTTATTTCACAGCGTCTTCGTCTGGTAATTTACCAGGATCTTTTTGCTTATGGTTGCGGTTTTGCAGCAGTAAATACTCAGCATCGCCAAATATGCTGATCCATTTTAGTTCAAGTACGTCAACAAACTTGTCGATTAAATCTGCGCTAGAATCATCATCACCAATTAAATAACTTCCCTTGACGACCTTCGCAGACAATTTTAGCAAATTTCCTACACTCACTTTAAGACCAGCCTTAAGTGTTCCATCTTCATGGGTTGTCATTGATTGTATAGCCTCTTCTAAAGCAGGGAAATTCTGCCTGCGAAACATCTCTTCAATTGGCAGAGTTTTATCATTTGTAAAATATATAAAATGGAAGTATAGATAAGCAAGTGTACGCATTTTACACATAACTGCCTTTTGAGATTCAGCCAGTTTGTCTTTTTTTCGCTTATGTTTATTGAACTGGCTTCTTCCAATCAGTTTAATTACACCATTTTCCTGACAGAATTTACCAATCCTATCACCGCTGAACCTCGATAGCAAATCAGTGAATTCCAACCCATCCGTATCATTATTAATCAATGTTGCAGCTAACCCCTTTGTTCCCTGTATACCATTTTTTTCCCACAATTTTTTGAATGACTAAAACAATATCTTCTGCGCACAAAAGCTTTACACTGAGTACATATTTTGACTCCATCTTCCATCTGGCCTCTTTCACACAATAAGGTTTTTTTTTCCTTCAACATCTACATATTATGCCCAAACATACCATCCTTCCGCATTTTCTCAAATTCAAAGGCTTGTGAATGTTTTGGCAAAGACATTGCCAATTTTACCCTTTCCTCATGTTTATGACGCATTCTCAAATGACGTGTTAACTGGCTTCGTAGTTTCTTTAATAGGTCACAATTAAATTCTTTGTTGTGAGACGCACTCTCGTAATCGTAGTTCTGCGAGAAATTTGTTTGCGTTTGGGTAAATTAGTTATGTCGTCGACGACTCATTTAATTCTGAGACGGTTAGTTTAAAATTCCTTCTAGCCTCAGATGAGGCTGCAACCGAGTTGAAGATAATCTACATTTTGATGAGGAAGACCAACTGCAACGCGCTTTAAATTATGGGAAGAGGCCATTGAGTTAGTGAGAAGCATGCCCATGGAAAAATACGCCAATGTTAAACGAGCCGCACATATGGTATTGTCAATGTTTGGATCAACATACGTCTGCGAATCTGTGTTTTCTACCATAGAAGACGTGAAATCAAAGCATTAATTTGTTATGATGAAAACCCATGTAAAAGAACTGCTTCGATTGACTACAACGACATAATTCCCACTAAGTAGCATGCATAAAAATAAATGGCTTTCAAATTTATGTCATAATCATGTTGGTTAGTGATATTTAATAAAATAAACCAGCATTGCCGCACAGCTGAATATAGGTATATCTGATGTTCATGTATGTTCCGGTTTATAATGCGGCCCTTCGCGTTATCAAAATACGAAAATGCGGCTCTTCGTTTCTGGCTGGTTGGCCACCCCTGATATACATCTTGAGTGTAGTTATTGCAAAAGTGATTTAATTCGTTGAATTTGATATATTATTTTTTAATTTGCAATACAAAAGTTGCTTAATAGTGTGATGAAATATAGCTGAAGCCAAACCTTCAATTATCAGTTTCATTTATAAATGTATAGAGAGAAGATAGGGAGTTAGTCTTGTGCAACCCCAACTCAAAAGTTTCATTCATAATTGCCAGCAAGAATGCGGCCAAAATTATTTAACAAACTGATCCTGTTTATATCTATAATTGACTGAATCATACGGGTTAATTTTTATATTTCACTCTTCAGATAGTCAACAAGAAGCTCCTGTTCGACATGCAGTTCAGATCAGACACTACTCACACGATACCGGTATGTACTTTATCAATCCTCAATAATTCATTCCTTTCTGGAATAAATTTAATTTTTGTTTCCATGTTAAGATTC